TAAATGCAAGTTGTTGTGTCGGGGTTTATTAAATAGTTTGGTTGGGGGAAAATATTAAGTAGTCTAAAACTGTCAACCATTCTTGTTTAATGTTTATCCATATTGCCGTCGTTCCTTGTATAAATAAAGCAAATTATTTGATCAAAATAATATATGATATAGTCTTTATAGAACTGTCTTTTTCAAAATTATTGATCATGGGTTTATCGTGATTAATTATTTATTGTAATTATTTTTTATAAATATTATTCATGGTAATTTAACGAAAATAGAAATTCTTTGTTGACCAAAAAAAAAAAAAAGATAAATTACTTGGCAAGCATCAAGTCTTAGTTGATTGTGTCAATAACAAATATTTTAATGGAAACTGCGGGACGAGATGAAATATCATTTCATATGTATTTTCGAAACGAGACATCAGACAAGGATATTCCAATTTCAAATTCGGGCTGTTTGGAAAAAAGCTGCAAACAAATCTATGATACGTTTATTTTTGTACAATGGAATACAGGCACAGGTTTTTGCTGTGCCGCGCTTGCGTGTTTATTTCGGGTTAAAAAACATGAGAGTATAATATTTTCAATGTTTTTCTCGACAACTTCTACCTTCCTATCATTATTCCTTCTTGAAAAAAAAAATTCATCCTACCCATTATTGAATATTGGAATAAGGTACTTAAATATCTTGGAAGTGTATAGGAAGAAACACCCCAACACCTGAAAGTTTTTTCACTCTTATATGCTCTGAAAGTTTTATTTTGTAGCATTTCTGCTTTGAATTGTTATCCACCGTTAAGTTTGACTATTAAAAACACTAGTCAAACTATATTATTTAACGATCAAATTTAACAGCAAATAATGGCTATTGTATTTTTTTATGAAAATAAACTTTTAGGGCATATAAGAACTAAAAAAACTTTCAAGTGCTGTATGCTTCTTCTTAGATACCTCTGGAATATTTAAGTACCTTATCTCATTGAATATTCATAATTTGCTTTGCTAACTAAAAGACACAAGTAAATATTCTCAATCTAAAATCCAAAATAACTTCAAATATTCAACCAATAAATTCAAATAGAAACTATTAATGATGGGTTTTGAAGTTATAATATTTTAAGTTTTGGGTCAAGATGCATATTTATCCATTATAATATTAAAAAGAAGTATCAGGTATTATAACAAAATTTTGGGAACAAAAATATATGAAAAAATTATAAATAAAGACCTCCCAATATGTGAAATTGCAATTTGGGACTCTCAATCTGAAAAATGACAAATAAAGACCTACTCCCATATTGTAAATATGAAATCTTTGTGAAATATCTAAAATACCCCTCAGCCAAATTGTGATTTGGTCTACTGAAATTGTTATTCGTTAAAGTAAACTTATCATTTCCTATAGTTACCTTGTCATTTGGCATACTCTCAGTCAAGTTGTAATTTGATCTATTGAACTTGTCATTTTTCATAGTCAACTTGTCATTTGACTGAGAGGTATTTCAGACATTTTACCAAGATTTTATATTTGTAATATGAGATCGGGTTTTTATTTGCTATTGTTTAAATTGAGAGTCTAAATCACAATTTCATATATTATGGGTCTTTATTTATCATTTTTTCAAAATATACTCCCAAAATTTTGGAGTACATGGGTATTTTAAAACAGGACAAAAATATCATCACCGCTTAATCGTCCCAAATGTCCCTAGGTTTCTTCCGTGGGTCCCACTAAATGCACCATTTCAACTCTCCGGCCCTCTATCTCTCTCATTTTCGTCGACTCTGTTCCCTCAATCCAAGTCAACTGAGTCTTCCTTTCTTTGCCTCCCTCTCACCGTCTCCTTCCTTCCTCTTTCTGACAACACAGAGCAAAGAAAACACACTCTGTCACTCTCTCACGCACTATCCATGAAATGACCTTTATTCCCCTTCCCTCTCCTCCATCCTCTTTGACTCCTCTCACGGTCTCCCGCCGGTGCTCTCGCCAATTGACACCACAGGAGACATGAGCTTGTACCTTGCACCTCGGGAAATGACGGATTGAGTCAAATCAGAGGAAGAGACCAGGAGGAGTCGAAGCTCCGAAGCGGAGCGAATCTCGGCATATAGTGCCGCCTTGTTTTTCTCACTTCCATTTAATTCTCATCTGAAGTTGCTAGTTTGAATGGGAAATACGTGTAGAGGATGCTATAGATGCACCCATATAGACATGCGCACGGATGTTTGGTATGTGGAAACAGGGGGGTTGGGATTGGGATAGGGAATGACTCAATTTGACATGTTTGGTGCAAAATACTTGTTAATACTTAGGATTGCTTAATACCACACTCATGGGATTGACGAGTACCACACTCCCTCGGTATTGCAATTTTAATCATGGGATTGAAAGTTTACTGACTAAAATAACCTCCTAAAATTTGCTTAATTATTAATGATGGGCTAGGAAGTTACGATATTTTGATCTTTTTAAATTTTAAATTTAAATAATAATATGTAGAAAGTTAAGATATTATGAAATATAACTGTGTGCGAAATATGACAAGTTCCTTAAAAGGAAAAAAAAAAGTGAAAAAAAATGTGCCAACCAGGAGTAGCATTGAGGAATTAATGATTGGTCAAGTCAAATTTGGATTGTTCATATACAAATTTATAAATTTGTAATGTTTCATGATAAATTCATTTTTAAAAATAAGTACTTTTTTTTTTTTACTATGTTATCGCCAATTGACACTTAATGATTAATTTTTTCAAGATGAGGAGATCACAGAAGCACTCACTCTAATTCTATTCATAAGTCTTTGTCCAAAAAAAAAAATCCTATTTATAAATCACTTCTAACATATTTCATACAGATCAAGAAAAATTTTAAATTTCATTAATTCTCATTTAAAATTCAACAACTTTTTAACTTTATTCCTATTTAATATACATTATATTTTATCTAAATAAAGTCAACACAATAATAAATAAAGAGTAAAATTGTACACCCGTATAAAAAATTTCTCTCACTTTCTTATAAATAGGACAAAAAAAGTCTTTTCTCTTCCTCATATAAATAAAATGAGAGTAAATCTAATCTTAATAAGGTCCTTAGAATTTTCATAATTACGTAATCAAGACTCTAGAAAAAATCTCCATGTGAAATTCAATATGAATCCATAGGAAAAGCAAGTGTAGGAGCTTTAATGAATGAATTAACACTGCACACGTATATGCAAGCTATTTTATTAAGGGAGAATCCAAAAAAAAGGAAAAACTTTTAAATTTTAAAAGTCCAACAAGACTATATTTTAATAACAATTAATAACATTTGAAAAACAAATGACAGCATATTTTTGTAATCATTCTTGATTTGGGATTTTGAAATTTTAGAGGTATTTTTTTGGGATTTTTTTCTTTTATTAAACTATGTGATTAAACAAAATTTATTAATAAAAAATTAGTACCATATTTGCTTCACAAGAAAACTGACTAAAGGAAACGAAAATGATGTACAGTAGTATCCGATGAAATTCTTTGTTTACTTAACATGAATTGCATGGCATTTCCCTTTCCATTTCATTAAACATTGAGAGAACTGAAATTGTTTCGTGGAGATAAGCAAGTCCCCACGACCAAGGAAGCAAAAAATATTATTAGGTATTTGCAATGAATTTGCGATCATTTAATAAGCGTTCATGTTAAGAATTTTTGTCACAAAGTTTTTTTTTTTACGTGTGTAACGAGCTATATACCGATTACGGAATATATATATATAGAGAGAGAGAGAGAGAGAGAAAGTCAAACTTGCTTCCGCTTATTAAGAAAATGATTCACTTGATATTTTACTATGAAAGATAACATGCTCAATTCTTATCATATTTGGCTTCGATTTTATCTTCTACTCCTTATTAAGCATAATTATGCAAAAATACATTTTTGTCTTATTTAAAATATACCTAACGAGGTTTTAGGTAATATCATTTCATTCCATTTCAATTTCCATTCCTCTTTCTTCTATTCTTTTATAATGTGATTCGACTTGCAAAACATACCATAAAGTAAAATTACTTGTGTGGCTGAGGATAGAGAAAATGATTTTCCCTTTTGGTGAAAAATAAATGTTCCTGTAGTTTGGAAAGCTGGAGAGCTTTCTCGGAAAGTCAATTAATAATTATAATTCTATTTCTAAAATCTTACTTATAAAAAGATTAAAAAATTAATATAAAGGGAATGTAATCTGCTTAAAACTTTGAATTGATTGGGAAAAAAATATACGGCTCTTTTTCACGAAATTTCAAAAACACCGTCTTAATAATTTCATAACAAGTTTAGTAGTAGAAGTTATAGTAATATAGTAATTAAAAAAAAAAAAAAGAAGTGCAGCAATATGATAAGCTTTCTGCGTGCATACGGTAGTCAACTCATTCAGAAAATTTCAAGAAATTTAGGTTGAGACTAAATTCTCATTTTCTCTCACTTGGCATTTTAATTTTGTAGAACCTGTTTGACGCACACAACGTGTACTAATAATTACATCACGCTTCTAAAACTTTATTTCCACATGGATTACAGAATTTAAGTATTAATGTCAAGATAAACATATTAATTAAGGTTACATTAGAAGTTATCTAGATAAAACTTTAAGTCGATCATGTTTCATAAAACTTTCACAAAACTTTGTAAACAATTTTGATTCAACTTTGATGAAATTTGGACCAATTTTTCAAAGAATTTTCATTTGCATGTACTTATTGCATTAATAATTTGTTCCACATCTTCGCAAAACTTTTCATTTAATTTGCGCACACTCTTCATTAACATTTAACTCTTCAGCAAACCATTTCCACAAAATGCAGTAGTCTTCGAAGGCTTTGAACAAAACTTGAGAAAATTTTGATCAAACTTTGATGAAATTTAAACGCATTTTCACAAAAATGTCCATTTGTATGCACACACGTCTAAGATCTTTATAAATAGGACAACATATAAACCCACAATTGAAATAGGCAAAGGGCAACATAAGATTAGGAAGAAACAAACATACATTATAAATCCCAAAATATTTAGTGTTCTTATATTTTGCTGCTGAGGCAAAATGAGTGGTTCTCAAAAAGGGTCAAAAAAGAATGATCTTGCAGACCTTATGAGGCAAGATGATTCCCATGAGAGGTCTTCTCATGCTCCAAGCTCAAAGAAGAGCATGGAAGAAAGCCTCGCAGATAATGCTGGTTATGGCAGCCATCATGAAACCCCAAAACCTTCAAACCCAAGAAAGAGCAAGAAATCTGATATTGCAGACCATGCAAGGCGACCCTGAAATTGGGTAATTACAATTCATTCATATGCTAGGCAATTTATTATTTTTATCGTATTTCTGTATACTTTGAATTTCTTGACCCTTTGTTTTGGTTTGAGAGGAATGAAGTGAGAGAGAAAGAAGGAAAACTCTTAATGAGTTCATTTTTTCTTATAATGTACGAGAAGGGGTTGAAAGTTTTCAACTAATTTTTTCTTACATTTTCTCTCTGTCAAAATTTTCTGATCCACTTGTCTATTTTTCTGAATTAAACTCATCAAATTTTTTTTCCCCCATTCTCCTCAAACCAAACAAAGGGATTGGTTCATTTGGTTTAATAGGAGAATAGGAAAAATCTCTTCCATAAACATGAAAACCTTTATTTATCAAGAAAGTGAATTTCACTTCATCTCATAATTAAACACACATGGAGTGTTTAGATTGGCATATTTTAAGTGATTTTATGTTATGCTGTGTGAAAAATTTTGTCTCCTAAAGTGGAAAATAACTTTTTTACATGGTTTCAGAACACGTACACAATAGGAGAGAAATTTTAACGATCTTAAGTATTTACGTATACTCATCATTAATCAGGATGATAATTAACGGCTATAAAAATTAATGAGCTAATTAACAAGGAATTTTAACACTTCTTTGTAATGATGAATTAGAGAGATGGACCACTGGGGAATGATATTTATGGAAGAGGATCCAAAAAATTAAAATTATATAAAAGGACAAAATATACAAATATAAATTTAAAAATACCATATTGTCTCTATCCAAACCTCCTACATTTTTTCCTATATTCCCTCCCACATTTTATTTTTAAACTAATGCGAATCAACAAATTTCACTAAATTAAACCTGATTTTTCTCAAAGTTTTCAAACTTAACTTAGAAAATATGCAAACATTGTTTATTTGTGTAAAAATTATAATTTTATTTTCCTTATAAAAATTTAAAATTTTCTTTTTAACTAACGGTGTGGTTTTAAAACTTAAAATTAAAATTAAAATAGATTATTATATAATTTATTATATAAATGGTTTTAAAAAATTCAAAGAAATTTTTTATTACTTATTATTTTTATTTTATAGGAAATTTATATCAGATTTTAAAATAAAAAATTCATGTAATGTTAAGAAATTTAATGAAATAATTTTCTTTAAAATTTTTAAAATTATTTATCTAATAATCTAAATTTTAATAAAATTATATAACTTTTATTTTCAATGAAAGTCTGTGATGGTTTTATAAAAAAAAAAATTTAATTTTTACATGATTGAACAATATTTGATTATTTTTTAATTAATTTTTATGTAAGTTTAAATTTTGAGAGAAACCATGTTTAATTTAGTAAAATTTATTAATTCACATTAGTTTTAAAAATAAAATGTAGGAGAAAATGTAGGAGGCTTGTATGAGGTAGTATTTTTAAATTTATATTTGTATGTTTGGTCCTTTTAAATAATTTTAATTTTTATGGTCCTCTCCCTTGAATATCACTCCTTATTGGTCCTTCTCTCTAATTTTCCCTTTTATTTAATGTTCTTTCTTTGTAATTTTCATGCAGGTTTACGCTGATGGGCGATTCTAATTCTGGAAGGAATATCAAGCTCTATGAAGTCTTTTATTTTATTTACTTTTTTTTGTATCTGTTGTTTAAATAAATGTAAGTTGCTGTGTCGGGGTTTCTTAAGCAGTTTGGTTGGGGAAAAACATTAAGAAGTCTAAAACTGTCAACAATTCTTGTTTGATGTTTATCCATATTGCCATCATCCCTTGTATAAATAAAACAAATTAGTTGATCAAAACAATATGATATAGTCTTTATAGAACTGTACTTTTCAAAATTATTGATCATGAGTTTATTGTGACTAATTATTTATAGTAATTATTTTTTATAAATATTATTTATTGTAATTTAACAAAAATAGAAATTCTTTGGCTACAAAAAAAAAAATTACTTGGCAAGCATATCCATCGATTTTCTTGGTTAATGTTTTAGTTGATCGTAATAACAAATATTTTAAATGGAAACTTCAGGGCGAGATGAAATATAATCTTGTATGTATTTTCCAGATAAGACATGAGACAAGGGTATTCCAATTTCACCCCAGAAACATCAAAATAAAACCTCCAATATTATTTATAAAGATACTTTTTGTAATCGTATTTACATATATGCTTATATGTCGGTAAGATTTAGGTTTAAAGTGAATACAAATGAGATAAGGACTTAATGCAATGAGATCTATTGTGAGGATGCCAATGTTGGATCATAAATACAAGCTAATTTTTCTAGCTTCAAAAAGAATAGGTTTGTTAATCAGAACATTGTACGCCATTTTATTTTTATTTGGTTTTGAATTTTTAACGGTGTGGGAAACTACTTATTCCTTTAATTATGACTTAGGTGAATTCCTTTTTAAATTTTAAATTTGGGTTGTTTGAACAAAAGTTGCAAACAATTCTATTATGTATTTATTTTTGTATAATGGAGTACAGGCACATGTTTATGGTGTGCCACACTTGCGTGTTTATTTCGGGTTAGAAAAAAAAAGGAATATAATATTTTGGAAAAATGGCAAAAAAGACCTTAAAAGTAAAAAAAAATTACAAATAAGAACCTATTTATAATATTAGTATCAGTTTTGACAACAATTGATAAGCAAATGGCAACAACTTTTGTAAACGGCCTTTTTAATTTTTAAGGTTTTTTTCTGCAATTTTTCTTAATTTTTTAAATTTTTTTCTTGATATATTCTAACTTCCTATTGTTATTCCTTTTTTCAAAAATATCCTAATCATTATTGAATATTCGTACTTGGCTTTGATAACTAAAAGATACATATAAACATTCTTAATCTAACATCCAAAATAACTTCAAATATTCAACCAATAAATTCAGATAGAAACTATTAATGATGGGTTAGGAAGTTACGATATTTTAATTTTTTAAAATTTTAAATTTAAATAATAATATGTAAAAAGTTAAGATATTATGAAATATAATAGTATATGAAATGTAAAGCTGGGAAAACGAGCCGGCGGGCTTACAAGGGCCAGCCTTACAGGCCAAAATTTTAAAAATATCCCAATTTACTAAACCTAGCCCTTAAACAGACGGGCTCAGGACTGGCCCGTAGACTTTCAGCCTGTTTAAATTTTTTTTTCATTTTCTATATTTTTCATAAGTTTTATCAAAAAATAAAAAAGAAATCGATGAAATTAGTAGTAAAAGACATAAATATGAATAAAATTAAGTCACAAAAACAAAAGATCATTATATCTAAATGTCCATCAACATACAAAAAATCTAAAACATCCATTAGACATACTAAGTTAATAACATTAACATCCAAAAGTTCTATTAAAAGTAGACAAACATTTTCACTAAAAAAAAAAAAGTAGACAAACACTATCATCAATTGTAAGAATATTTGATTATGCTTTACTAGTAATAGGCTCTTTTAAACTTCTAAAAATATCAATGATTTCTTCTCAATACTATTTAGCTATTCTAGAGTCTAATATGTCTTTTTCTGTCTTTTTGAATTGAATTTTTTGCCCACCAATAAGTTTATTTAAAAATATCAATGTTAAATTTGTTTTAGACGTTTCAACTTAGCAACCATTGGGGATTGATTCTGTGTTGTCTACTTCCTAGCTCTAGTCCTAATTATAAGACCTCGTTCGTAGTCAAATGAGGTCTTATGTTCAGGGCTGGAGTTAGTATTTTTTTTTTTCCTCAAGCTTTAATTGTGAAAATCACTTTGCTGCACAATCTTATGAGAAGTCTTAAATAGCTTAACACTTTGAATTGATCCATAGTATGCTTTTAATGAGCTATGTCCTGTTTTTTTTTTCTTGCTTTTGTTTAGGACTGTCTTTTATAGTTTTGTCTAACTCGTTTGTTTAACTCTATATAAATATAGAGTAAAAATTATGATATAGTCACTATAGAAAAAGTGTTAACTTATGTATTAAAATTTTGTAACAATATATACAAATTGATATGTATCTGTTGGATCAATCATCATTAAAATTTTTGTTTTAATATGGGGAATATATTTGTTTATAATTGCTAGTTCTAATGTATAACTGTTAGTTCAAATAAATACAAATTTGAAATCTAATTTAGGATATAGAGAATATATTTTTATTTGTTTTAATATCATTAGAGATTGAGGTGTGAGTTAAGAGTAAGTGAAAGACTGAAAGTGAAACTTAGAGAGGGAGGGTACATAAAATGTTAGAGACTTAGGTTAGGGTTAAGAAAAAATATATAAATTAAGAAAAGAATTATTATTGGTAGGCTTAAACAAGTCGACTCGCGGCCTTACAGGGCCGGCCTTTTTATTTTTAAGCCCTACAAGGCTGGCCCTTTTAAATCCAAGTTCCTTTTAAAGAATCCAAATTACAAGCCCAGTCCTCAATTTAAACGGGTTTAATTGAACCGGCCTGACAGGCTCAGCCCATCTTTGTGGCTCTAATGAAATATGACAAGTTCCTTAAAGAAAAAAAATAAGTGAAAAAAAAAGTGCCAACCGAGAGTAGCATGGAGTAATGATTGTTCAAATCAAATTTGGATTGTTCATATACAAATTTATAAATTTGTGATGTTTCATGATAAATTCATTTTTAAAAATAAGTACCTCTTTTTTGCTATGATTATCGCCAATTGACATTTAATGACTAATTTTTCAAAATGAGGAGATCATGGAAGTACTTATTCTAATCTTATTTATAAGCTACTTCTAATATGTTTTACACAAATCAAGAAAAACATTAAATTTCATTAATTCTTATTTAAAATCCAACAACTTTTCAACTTCATCCATATTTGATATACATTATATTTTATCTAAACAAAGTCAACACAATAATAAATAAAGAGTAAAATTGTACATCCGTATAAAAGATTTCTCTTACTTTCCTATAAATATGATAAAAAAAAGTCTTTTCTCTTCCCCGTATAAATAAAACAAGAGGAGTAAATCTGATCCTTAATAAAGTCCTTAGAATTTTCATAATTACGTAATCAAGACGCTAGAGAAAGTCTCCATGTGAAATTCAATATGAATCCAAAGGAAAAGTGTGGGAGCGTTAATGGATGAATTAACACTGCACACGTATATACAAGCTATTTTATTAAAGAAGAATAAAAAAAAATACTTTTAAATTTTAAAAGTTCAAATCAGTCTTGTTTATTATACTTTAATAACAATCAACAACATTTCAAAAACAAACTAGAAATTTCTCACCCGTGTGATGAGCACGATCTAAAATATTTAATTAGATTTTAAATTTTAATAAATTGTATTATCTAAAATAGCTCAAGGCTCACTTCTTGGAGGAATCTTTTTTTTTTTTTCAATTCATTCAAATGAGATTTGAATTAGAGATGTGGAATTTAAGAGGAATATATAAAATTTAAAACTATTTTTTTATTTTTTTATTTAAGCCCCTTATTGACATACTATTTAATTATGACACTTCCTATTTAATTCAATACAATCAAATCCTAATGAAAATATTATTCAAATTGAAAATTAATTATTAATTTCTCCATTTGAGCCTTCAATTAAAATTTCACTTAATAATGATGCTCCTCATTTAAATTAATATACTCAAGTCCTGATAAAAGTATTATTTAAACCTTATTAATTGAATATATTTGGATATGATAATGTGATACCCAACCCCTTTTTAAAAGAATAAGGCATTACAAGTTTTCAAGAATATAATTAGTAACAGCTCATTTTTATTATAATCATTTCTCATTTGGGATTTTGAAATTTTAGAGGTATTTTTTTTGGGATTTTTTTCTTTTATTAAACTATGTGATTAAAAAAAATTATTAATAAAAAATTAGTACCATATTTGCTTCACAAAAAAAAAAACTGACTGAAGGAAATGAAAATGATGCGCAGTAGTATCTGATGAAATTCGTTGTTTACTTAACATGAATTTCATGGCATTTCCCTTTCCATTTCATTAAACATTGAGAGAACTGAAATTGTTTCGTGGAGAAAAGGAAGTCCGCACGACCAAGGAAACTAAAAATATTATTAGGGATTTGCAATGAATTTGTGATGATTTAATAAGCGTTCATGTTAAGAATTTTTGTCAAAAGTTTTTTTTTTAACGTGTGTAATGAGCTATGCCGATTACGTAATATATATATATATATATATATATATATGTAGAGAGAGAGAGAGAGAGTCAAACTTGTTTCCACATATTAAGAAAATGATTCACTTGATATTTTACTATGAAAGATAATTTGGTCGATTCTTATCATATTTGGCTTCGATTTTATTTCTACTCCTTATTAAGCATAATTATGCAAAAATGCATTTTTGCTTATTTAAAATGTATCTAACGAGGTTTTAGGTAATATCATTTCATTCCATTTCAATTTCCATTCCTCTTTCTTCTATTCCTTTATAATGTGATGCGACTTGCAAAACATACCATAAAGTAACATTACTTGTGTGGCTGAAGAGAAAATGATTTTCCCTTTTGGCGAAAAATGAATGTTCTCGTAGTTTGTAAAGCTGAAGAGCTTTCTGGAAAGTCAATTAATAATTATAATTCTATTTCTAAAATCTTACTTATAAAAAGGATTAAAAAATTTATACAAAGGGAATGTAATCTTCAAACTTTGAATTGCTTAGGAAAAAAATATACAGTTCTTTTTCACGAAATTTCAAAAACACCGTCTTAATAATTTCATAACATGTGTGGTAGGAGAAGTTATAGTAATATAGTAATAAAAAAACAAAAAAAAGGAAAGAAGTTGT